TGGATTGCTTTTCTGTTTTGCATGCTGGCCATTTTCCTTTTTTTTTTGCATAATTGCTACATTTGTTATTTACTTGCAGTGTAGGACTTAAGTTATTACATTTATGTTAATTTTTGTTGCATTATGTTCATGGGTTTCGACAATCAGTTAAAGCTAGGCTTATTTAAAGATTGCCGTATGAATAAAATGATCACAAGATTTTTATCCAAATTATTGTAGTTACTATTCTTACCCTAAAGAGAGTTAAAGTGTGAGTGGGGTTTCTGATAGGGACCGCATCAAGTGGTATCAGAGCCCGGTTGGTATGGCTACTAACAAAGAACATATCAAAAGCTTGGAGGTTGGGCTTGGGAACCTTCAGGAAGGCATGAATAGGATAAAACTTGGTATGGTTGACAAGATGAGCCAGCTCAAAGCAACTATCCACCAAATTTCAGAGACTTTTCTCTTCAACAAGGAAGGCACTAGCCATAACAACATGGAGCAGGATAGCAATTCTCGCTACAACAAGAAGGAAGACATGGAGAAGAATCGACTGGTGGTGTCATCCAAAACGGCCAAACTTGAGTTTTCCAAATACTCAGGTGAGGACCCAACATAATGGTTCACATGAGCGGACCAATACTTCGGGTTTCAAGCTATGGCGGAAGAGTAGAATGTCTCATTGACTTCTTTTCACCTGGAAGGTGAGGCTAATCAATGATGAAGGTGGTTAAGCCGGACGTATCGAGAAGAAGGAAAGGAAGTGACGTAGGTAGTCTTTCAGGAAGAATTATGGGCCCGATTTGGACCCGTTGGTGGAGAGGACTTTGATGAAGCTTTGTCACATATACGGTAGACAGGTCCCTGCGTGAATACCAGAGAGAATTTGAAAGATTGGGCAATTGTGTGCTAGGATGGATTCAAAAGGCTTTGGTGGAAACCTTCATGGGAGGACTTAAGTCGGAGATTGCGAAAGGGGTCCGCATGTTTAAGCCTCAGACACTCAAGGATGCTATTAGTCTCACTAGTATAAGAGAGGAACAGCTTTCTCGCCAACGAAATTATGTCCGACCGTCACCAAATAATTGCCCACAACTGGCATTGCCCGCTTCACAGAAACCCAACCCAGCTTCACCTATCAAGCTTCTGTCTTGAGAAGAGATGCAAAAGAGGAGAGCACAATGGCTATGTTTTAACTGTAGTGAACGCTTCATGACAGGCCACAAGTGTCGTAGACCTCAATTATTGTTGTTAGAAGCACCCATATGAACCAGTACCATCACGTGTGAAGAAGTTTTGACAGAGACTATGATAGAGGATAAGCAAAGTGAGCAAATAGATCCTGAGATTTCGCTGCATGCACTAACGGGATGGTCATCACCGAAGACCATGAGGGTGGTTGCCAAAATTGGTCCGCTGGAATTGGTAGTTCTAACTAATAGTGGCTCAACACATAACTTTATTAGTGATTGAGTTACTCGCCTCCTTCGACTTTCGGTAGTGCCAACCGAATCATTCATGGTGCGAGTGGCCAATCCGGAACGATTAAATTGCCAGGGGAGATTTGAGAATGTCCAAGTTAATTTACAAGGCATTCTCTTTTCACTGACTCTTTATGCATTGTCCCTGTTAAGCCTTGACTTGGTTCTTGGAGCACAGTGGTTAGAAATATTGGGTTCGGTGATTAGCAATTGGAAGCAACTGACTATAGAGTTTCAATGGGAGAATATGACTAGAAGGTTACAAGGAGCGGACCAACAAGATATTTGTACAGCTTTTCTCAAAGAAATTTCCAAGGAGCTTCGCCAATGCCACTCTTTGTTTACTGTTTGTTTATGCTCCATGGAAGAATTATCACGAACTGATATACATCTAGACATGCAGTATGTGCTAGCTCAGTATGTAGATGTCTTTGAAGAGCCCACCAAGTTGCCACCTGTAAGAGAAATAGACCACAGAATTTCCCTTCAGGAAGGAACCGAACCTGTCAACATTCGACCTTATCGATATGCATAGTACCAGAAGGTGGAGATTGAAAAGTAAATACAGGAAATGCTCAATCAGGGGATTATCAGAACTAGTCCCTTCTCTTCACCAGTGCTCTTAGTGAAGAAGAAAGATGGTAGCTGGCGATTTTGCATAGATTACCATACTCTCAATGCGGTTACCATTAAAGGTTGCTTTCCCATACCCACAGTGGAAAACATGCTTGACGAAGTACATGGAGCTACTTATTTTACTAAGCTAGATCTTCGGGCAGGATATCATCAAATAAGAATGCAACCTCTTAACATTTCTAAGGCTTCCTTTAGAATGCACAAGGCCATTATGAATACTTGGTCATGCCGTTTGGGTTGTGTAATGTGCCCTCTACCTTTCAGGCTATTATGATACAATTTTTAGCCCTTATCTCAGAAAATTCATCTTGGTTTTCTTTGATTATATCTTAATTTATAGTCCTACTTGGGAAATGTATTTAGCACATGTGGGAAAAACTCTAGAAATCCTGAGGTCACAGAAGTTCTTTGCCAACGCTGGCAACTGTGTATTTGGCCAACAGGAACTTGAATATTTGGGCCATATTGTGACACACCACGGAGTTAAGGTAGACCAAGGAAAGGTGGCCGCCATGGTAGCATGGCCCCTCCATACTACTATTACTAAATTGCGTGGTTTTTTAGGGCTAACAGGTTATTACTGGAAGTTTGTTCAAAATTATAGAGTTATAGCTCGCCCTCTCACTAATCTTCTTAAGAAAGGGAAGTTTGAATGGAGTAAGGAGGCGGAGGCTACTTTTCTCACCTTAAGGAGGCACGACAACAACTCCTACCCTAGCTGTGCCAGATTTAGTCGTTCACCATGAAACAAATGCATTAGAAGAGGGAATAGGTGTTGTTCTATCTCAAAGGGGAAGACTAATTGCCTTCATGAGTTGGGCTTTGGGGATTATGAAATAATCTTGGTCCACCTATGAGAAGAAAATGCTTGCTATATTAGAGGCGATTCGTACGTGGCGACCATACCTCTTGGGAAAGAAGTTTATCATTCAAACAGATCAAAGGAGTCTCAATTATTTTTGGGGCAACTTGTGGCAAATCCAGAGCAACAAAAATGGGTGGCTAAGTTATTGGGCTATGATTATGAGATAGTTTACTGACAGGCCGTGACAATTCCATTGTGGATGCCTTTTCTCGAAAGCCCAATAGCCCAATTCTTAACCATTTGTTTGTGCCACAATTTACAATTTGGGAAGAAATAAAGAAGGTTGTTGAAGAGGATGCGTACATTGGCTAGGTGGTCTGAATAGCCAAAGAGAAGCCCGAAGGTCCATATAAATTGTGTGATGGGTTGGTTTTCTATAAGTCTAGAATGGTTGTCCCTCGTGTACTTAAGATTAGCAAAAAGTTGTTGGCTGAATTTCATGATAGCAAGCATGCAGGTCATTTAGGGGTGTTGCGCACTTATAAACGACTAGTCCAACAATTTTACTGGCCATCCATGTACAAAGAAGTACAAGACGATGTCTCTTCCTGTGAAGTATGTCAAAAGACTAAATCACAAACACTTGCACCAGCAAGGCTTCTCCAACCCTTGCCCATCCCATGTCAAGTTTGGGATGATATCACTCTTGACTTCATTGAAAGATTACCCACTTCCAGGGCCAAGGATGCGGTATTGGTGGTTGTTGATTGATTGAGTAAATATGCTCACTTTCTGTCATTATCCCATCCCTTTACTGCTAAAGAAGTGGGAGAAAAATTTGTTGAAAGGGTCGTCAAACTACATGGTATGCCTCAATCTGTAATCAGCGACCAGGATCCTATCTTCATAAGTAAGTTTTGGCAAGAGTTCTTTACCATGTCAGGCACCAAGCTCAAACTTACCTCTGCCTATCATTCACAAACGGATGGCTAGTCCGAAGTGGTGAATCGGTGTCTTGAGTAGTATCTCCGTAGCTTAGTCCATCAGTGGCCTAAAAAATGGACTGAATTTCTTCCATGGGCAGAATTTTGGTACAATACGACCTATCATAGCTCTACTGGAATGACTCCATTTCAAGCCTTTTACGGTCGACTTCCACCAGCAATTCCATTCTACCGAGTAGGGCTCTCACCGGTAAATGACGTAGACCAAAGTTTATTACATAGGGACGAACTACTACAACAACTGAAGAATAATTTGGAGGTGGCTATCAACCGTATGAAACAGGTGGCAGATAAAAAAAGGCGAGATATGGAATTTCATGAAGGAGATATCTTGCTCTTAAAGCTACAACCTTATCGCTAGCATAAACTTTCAAATGTGCAGATCAAAAATTAGCTAGTCAATTTTTTGGACCTTACCCCTATCTTGCAGCGAATTGGAAAAGTGGCATACAAGCTTCAACTACCCAAGGGAGCACGGATATATCCTGTTTTCCACGTGTCTCTCCTGAAGAAATACTATGGAGAGCATGCGAAAGTCAGTAAGGAATTATCCCCAATTTCAGATGATGGAGCTACTGTGTTGGAGCCTGATAAAATTCTGGATACATGTTGGGTCAAACAGGGAAATAAGTCCATTGAGGAGGTCTTAGTACAATGGAGTCGTTTACTTCCAGAAGGGGCAATCTGGGAGATGACGGAGTTGATAAGGCAGCAATTTCCTACCATGGACCTTGAGGACAAGGGTCCATCTCATGGGGAGGGCATTGATAAACCACGAAGAACCAAGAGAATACCCAGGAAGAATTCCAGATATTATCGGAACGTTGCATGGGGATGTGCATTGCATGGATTGCTCTTCTATTTTGCATGCCGGCCATTTTCCTTCTTTTTTGCATAATTGCTACGTTTATTATTTACTTGCAGTGTAGGACTTAAGTTGTTATTTCCTTTACATTAATTTCTATTGCATTATGTACGTGGTTTTCGGTAATCAGTTAAAGCTAGGCTTATTTAAAGATTGCTCGTATGAATAAAATGATTAGAAGATTTTTATCCAAATTATTATGGTTATTACTCTTACCCTAAAGAGAGTTAAAGTGTGAGTGAGATTTCTGATTGGGACTGCATCAAAATCTGTAGTGGTGAAGAAGTTTGTGTATCTTCAACAGATATTTCATTAACATCATCAGTAGAATTGGAAATTGCTAGCCTTTCAATCATCCGTGTTGCATTAGTACACAACATTTTCCTTCTCCAAGTACTGGCAATAGCTTTCGAATACTCGAGAGCTTACTGTTACTCCGAAATCTAACAGGAAAAGTAGCTCAATTTTGAGCCTGTTTAGTTCTGTATTGGTCACTCCACCAACATGGACATAAAATGCATTAATGTTATAGTGCCTGAGACATACGTACGTGATCATGTTTAGTACATTAAACTTTGTATTACTATTGTGATGTTATTTCAATATCCCCATCATTTGTATGTATCACACAAGTTTTGTACACTAAAGTGAATAAGATTAAAGAATATATGTATGTTACTAAAATTTGTCAATTGATTTGTACATTGTCTTCTAATCAAGAATAACGTACCTAACATGTCAATTACCAATTTTATGAAGTACAATATATTTGGATTCTTTTCCTCTATTATATTATTAAGTTTTGGCAAACGAAAAATTTGAAAGGATAGAGATAAGATGAATTTAACATGATTCACCTTGTGCATATCAGGTTCATTTCTATGTCAAATGTATGTAACGCCCAAAATTTTTAGAGGAATTCCCACTACCAAAAAGTTGGTTCAAGAATTTGCATCATCAATCAGCATAAATATTTGTCTTCATCAATTCTCATGACGTGCATGCTAGACACGGGCGAACCCACATGGGGTCATGTGGGGTCAAATGACCCCACAAAAATTTGGGTTTTTTTTTCTTTTTCTTTTTTTTTTAGAAAATAATTTTTTTAACATTTTTATGATCTAATTTAATACATGCCAAATAAAGTCGGAACATTGCATTCTTAATATCATTTCGAAGTGCTCATAACCTAGATTCTTGCTTCTTAATGGCATGCGAAATGATCAACTGTAGCAAAATTTATTACGTATCAAAATAAGCCGCTCCAAATTAGTATTTCGAAAAGTTCGATAATATGCTAACTTTTAAAATTTGCCAATAATCGTATATTATCCGAATCCACAAATCGTCTGCGTCATCTAGAAGCTTGTTTCGAGAACTACATCGTAGTCATATTGAATGTTCTAAACGAATATTGAAAATAGTTAAACATGTGTCAAACGTACGTATTAGAAAAGACGTTTCACTCATTTTTTCTTTTAAAAAATTCAATATTTCATTAACGTTTATTAATTTTGTGCGATAAATTTTTCAACATAATTTACATCATTTTATTAGGAAATTTTACATGGAAGATGACGTCAAAAATTCTAAAATCGTTACGGATTAAATGTAATTTGAATTACTTTCAAATTATTTTTTCGTTAAAATTAAATTTCATTTACTTCATAAATTAAATGTGAATTTTATTTCAATTCACTTACTTCCTACATCCAGTTTGATTTATTCGCCATTAACTCAATATCTAAGAATGACTTGGTAAACAAAATTATACATGTAGCAAAATTCATTTAACACTATTGATAATGATATAATTATAAGACATTTTCAAGGTGTCGAAATGCATATTAACTTATTTTCATTAATATTATATTATTTTAAAAATTTACACATTAGTTTTTGACCCCACAACCTAGAAAGGTTGGGTCCGCCCCTGATACTAGATGTACTTTTTCAACAGCGTCTTGTGCAAGAAAATTTTCATACAAGGCTAAAGAGAGAAAGAGAACTTACACGTCGTCGAGAATCTTGGAAGCCACCATAACACTTGTAGCCACAATCTATGAACATTAAGTGACAACAAGAGCGAGTCGGGATACTTATGCACCAATCTATCTATATACACATAGCCTAACACGAAACACGACGGGCTACAATTCGTGTATTCGTATATTCGCTCTATATAATTTAGAATCGTAATATTCGGTGCTCTCACGCCATGGAAGGCGTTCAAGCTCCTCCCGAGCCGAGTCGAACCTAGCCTTGCCTAGCCTAGAACTAGCTGGTCATTACATGCCACTAACTTCTCTAGTACACAAGACAAGATGGTAAGAACTCTAGGTGTTGTAGGCTCGTCTCATTTTGGCTTGGTCCGGTGGTGATTATCGTCGTCGGATAACATCTGAACCATTGTCTTATGGTGAATTAGAACAGTTTGGACAAATCCTGTCACCTTCGACATTCTGCTTGCTGGTTATGGAAGGGCACATTCATGTTATCTTCAATAGTGTAATGAGGGATTGACACCTAGTGTTTCGCGCGGGTGGTTGCTAACAATTAAAAAGGAATCAGACGATTGTGTAAGGGACAAACCTCTTGAGACAAAGTTCCAAAAAGGGGTATTTTATTGGCAATGACTTTACAATTGGAACTTAAATAGAAATGCCTCCAAGGGCGCAAGCACACGAGTATTGAAAAGAAATGTTTTAAATCTAAACTAAGGAACTGAAATTACATATTCTTTATTTGAGAGTGTTTGATTCGGGGTCCTTTGCTCTATGTCTTTTCTTCCTTTTATATTCCTTTGATGCTCTCTTTGTGATCAATCGCTTAGAAACCGCTTAATTGCTTTATAACTGCCCACTTTCTTCATGGTGGCCAACTTATCGTGGAACTGCCGTCTCTAACTGCTACCATTACTCTTTGTCGTTCAACCGTCCTCAACTGAACATCCTTGAATCGTGGAACGTGATAAGATTACCCAATAACTGTTTTGATAATTGTACTTTTGGATAACCATAACATCTCATGTTTGCTAAGATCCTGGGTGATTCGAAGGTTTGGGCGAGAACAAGGTCATTACTCTGCGCGACTGCAAGACACTTCATTCGCTCAGATCCTGAGCGTCTTGTAAGTTTGGGCGATGGTGTTACCGCATTCGTGAGTTTCCACTGCATTCATTAATAAATCTATTTGGGCCTTTATCCTGAATTGTCCAGTTGGGCTTCATTCTTTGGGCTATTTGAATTGGGCTGCACTTTTAGCATGTCAACAATTACCCCCAATATGGCAGAATTAATACCAATTATTAATTTTTGCCATATTCACTTTGTGTTTCCCAGCAAAATTTGAAATTTCCAAGAATTTCAATCATTATTTTCTTCCATAGCCTGAAAAGGTGCAACATTGCAAACCCTTATAACCCCCAAATACACGCCATTTCATCGCACTACTAAATTACGTCTCATTGCTTCGCGCTTCGCTCTCGCAATATTACTGTTCATCTTCTTGCTTCTCTGCTACGTTTCTTAAGCAAACTTCAACAAAGTTTTATTTCGTTCCTAATGACTGCTTCACAATCCCAATCTAGTGACTCTTTCAGTTTCGAAGACTTTCAGAAACTCCTCATTCGGCCATATATAACTCCTAACTTCCTTGCACCAGCCAATGCAGAACTCATCGAGTTCTATCTAGGTCCCTCATTAAACAACGCTGAGGCCGTCGAACAGGTGGATGTGGGCCAGCTGTTCCCTTGTACTCAAGGCCCTCCGTTTCTAAACTCTTTGCCGCTGAGGCCATTTCGCGAAAGAGGTATTCGCACTTGGCCTAAATCTGATGTTGTTTTCCGTAGATGGCATGCTCGCCTTATGGACCATGGTCATTCCAAGGCAATTTTTGATAATGCTAGGATTTTTTATTTGCTAGAAATCTCTCTTCAACCCCCTATTTTTAATTCAGCGCTTTTCCCTATTACATTAAGTTTTTGGTCCTTTGAGTATAATACTTTTGTTTTCCCTCTTGGTCCCATGTCCATTACTTTAAGGGATGTTGGGGCCTTAGTAAAATTGCCACCTTTGGACGATACCATTTTCCCTGGTATTTTGATTTCTGGTGTCGCCCCAAAATTTGACAAAAAACTCATCGAGTCCTATTCAAGCCTGCAAGGCTGTTATAATCACTCGAGCGCTGAGCCTTCTCATGCTGAGCATGTGGCCTTTCTTCTGATTTGGCTTTGTAAATATATTCTATGTGTGCGAAGCCTGAAGCCTTCTATGTGCTATTTACCCTGAAGCCTTCTGAATTTGTGTTCTTTCTTTTTGGCCGCCCTCTATAGAGGCATGACTTCTCTCCAATTTCAATTGAAGAATGATGCATCTTCCACTGGTAGTGGACCTCTTTGGTTCACTCAAATGTGATTGAGAGCCTATTTTCCATCACTTGGTACTCTATCATTTTCCCTTCATTCTGCTAGTTGCTATGGGCTAACTATTGACCCACTGAGCCCTGTACATATGTCCAAAAGGGATATTTTTTCGTTCTTTTATACTTTGAATTCAATTCCTTCTTTCTTTCCTTTTCCTCCCTTTTTAACTCCTGATTATGTGTATCCCCCATCTACCCTGGACAATGCGAGCACCTCTCTGCCCGTTTGGGTTCAGTTTTTTACCGAGAGGGAGTTGTTCCATGATATTTTGACTGGAACCAATGCCAAAGCTGGGGTTGAAATATATGCTCCTCAATTTTTTGCTCGTCAACTTGGTTTTGGCCAAACTTGGCCTGTTCTCCCTTGTTATTCAAGAAATTTGATAGATCGCTTCTACACCATAAATAAGGCAGAGGCAGAAGCTATAAATGCTCGCAATATTCTTTTGACGAGTAACTTTCATTAGCTCCTTTCAGTCCTAGCCATGCCACCCATCCCCTTTTTGAACAACTCTGGCCATCAGTGTAGCGCAAATTGTTTGCAACTGATACCAATTGCGCTTTCCATTCACTGGATCAGCCGGACATTTCCTCCACTTTCCCTGTTTTGGTCACTCCTATGTCCATTAGGAGTCCTTCCTCTTCTGCTCATGCTAAACAGTCTGTTCGTCCATCTACTTCTCTTCCTGCCAAGCCTACTGCATCTAAAAGTATCCCAAGCCACAAACGGCCAGTCTCAGCATCTCCCATTTTGGAGGATGATGATGATGATGACACTCCTCTCATTGTCAGGAGAAATGTAATTAAATTAGTTTACTCACAAGCATACCTTTCTATACTTGAAACTTTTCTATGTGCTGATAGTTTATTCGGATTTCTCTGAAAAGCTCAGCCTCTCCTTCAAAGGCTTTGGTGTTGGCAGCTCCTGCTCCATCACCCTCTACTGAGGCTGCTTCATCCAAACCAGCTATGAAGGGACTACGCTTAAAGAGAAACCTTCAGTCCCGAAATCCTCATCACAACCAATAGATGAGCCACCTTCTTCTTAGGACGTCAACCCCCCAAACGTTGAACCAGAAGGTAATACATTTTTTGATGTTTTACCTTTGCTTGTGCTATTGATTTTTGATTTGTTGCTTTTTGAGTTTTGCAGATGCTCCCATGGGTTTGCCCGTTGTGGCAAAGTCTTCTTGCTCAGACAAGAGGACGTCTTCACAAGTGGTGGAGCCACAAGTGGTAGATTTGGCTGGGAATATGCCATCTCTCAAGATTGCTGATGAGGTAATCTCTGCTTCACTTTTACTTCCACTTTGTTCATTGTAGTGAAAACCTTCAATGTTGGTAACTTTCTTTGCAGGATGCTGATAAGATTGTGCGTTCCATCCAAGACTTGTTCACTTCCTGGGGGCAAGTCAAGACGTCTCGCCCTGCTTCAACCAATCGTCCTTCTACTTCTTCAGAGGAAGATATGAAATTCCTCAAGCAGTTGATATTTGAGTATGTGTCCTTTATGGATATGGACACCGGTCAGGCTAGTGCTACCAAATATAAGGATAAGCTCGAGCATTTCAGTGCAAAGTTGGAGCAAGCACTGACACTTCCGTCGCTCAATCTTTCTGCGGATTTTAAAGCGACGTTGAAAGTTGTCCATTCTGAGGTTCTTTCCTTGCTGGCCAAAAATGTTGAACTGAAGGCCAAAAGTACTCAATATCTTCACGCTGTATCTGAAAGAGAATCTTTGCTTCTGGAAATCAACAAAGCTGAGGATGAATTGAAAGAAATCTCTTCTGAAATCATGGTTGAAGACTCTTTGATGACCAATTTGACTGCACAGATGAAGGAGCTTCAAGCAAAAAATGGACGACTGCAATGCGAGAATGGCTGCCAAAAAATGTAATGCATCCCAAAGAATTGAGCGAACCAAGTCTTTGGTCGAGCAGTACAAGAAATTGGAGGTTGATGATGATTTTGTGGCTGAATTGAATGTCACTTCTTCTCAACAGAGCGAGAATTGGGAGAGACCTAGGGAAAGGATTCGTTCAGTCTGGGGCAATTTGTAATTAAGACATCTAATGCCTTAACTTTTCTTTTTGTAATTTCATATTAATTTTCCTCTTGTAACCTTGTACTGAATTCTGAACATACCAGCAACCATTATCATTAATGAACGATTAACTTGTCTTCTTGTGTATTTATTGATGTTGTCTTTAATCATCAACCCCCCAAACATTTAACTGCTTTATGCTAAGATTCATGCACATTTTCTTTTGGTATTTCTGTCTCTTTCCCCAAGATTTCGGGCCATTTGATTCTAGTTACTAGGCACGAATGTGGCTGTTCATATTCTATCTCTTCACCTTCACGCCTCTATAAATGCACTTATATTCCACACTTGTCATTTTCACTTCCATTTTCTTCTTCAAAATCAATTTGCTGCCATTGTTTGGCATTTTGACAATCGATCCAAAACATTCGTCTTCCATGAAAATGGATCATTTGATCCGTCCATTTTGCCATCTTTCTTGATGCCACCTTTGGTATGGGAGATATAGGAAATATTCTTTGGCCAGCAAAGTTCTTCCCATCGTCTCCATGTTCCTCACAAGGAGTTCGATGATGGAAGACAATTTTTTAGGACGCCTGCAAATCACCTTGCTTGCTGAGAGAGCTTCTCAGCCTCCTTGCCCGTCATTGCAGTGATGCATTTAGGAAGGCAATGTGAGGGTGCTTCTTCTTCCTTTCTGCTTGCTGAGAGTGCTTCTCGGCCTCTCTGCTTGTCTTTGCAGCAGTGCGATCAGGATGGCAATCAAGGCCAGTACACCCTCTTACTCGGCGATCGACTGGGAGATTAGTTTGCTCTTAATTGTAATTTATAGAATATTTAGCATTTTGTGTTTTGCAACTTTGTAACGAACGTTTGATAATAAAGGAATTTATTTGAACGTATTTCGCTCTGGCCCTTCTTTCTCTACAATCGTTCAATGCGATTTGATTACGCTTTTATTTGTTCACTTTCCCATAAGAAATGAACATATTTTT